ATGTTGTGTGTTTATGGATAATTTTCTTTTATTCACGATTTTTTTTCTTTTAAGTCTTGTCTTGCGCTCCCTTCCCCTCATTGTTGTAAGCCGCCCTGAGTCCCCTCAGGGAAAAGGGCGGCATATAAATCCTCAATAAAATCCTAAAAAAATCCTAATATCTACAGGGCTGCCTAAAGAAGAGAGGGTCAACCTGTTCTCTAATGCACCTGAAGGCAGGACAAGAAGCAACGTATGGAAACCAATCAAGGAAAGAACCATCCTAGAACTAAGGAAAAATTCCCATACCAAACAATTAATCTATGGAATGGCTTGCCTCTAGAAGTTGTGGGTGCTCAATCACTGGAGGTTTTTGAGAAGAGATTGGACAACCATTTGTCTGAAATGGTATTGGGTTTCCTGCTTGAGCAGAGGGCTGGACTACAAAACCTCCAACTCTGTTATTCTGTTGTGTTCTGAATTTTGTTTATTTTCTTTTTAAATGAAGCCTTAGTTTAAGACAGCCAAAAGATGTAACCTGACAGCCAGATGTTTTCTGCGGGTTTTTGCTACTTTTGTGAAAATAAAGACACATTGATGTGCTATTTGCATCCCTTTTGTACATAGAAGAGACACCAAAACATATGTACAAATAGGGTTTGTCTTGCAATGCTGCTTTTTCATTCTGCTACCCCTTATCCCTATGGATGCCATTGGGTCTGGTTTTGTACATACAAACTCTGGTGTAAACTCACTGCATGCAACACATTCACATTCACATGCAAATGCCTTGAATATTCAACCTTATTTTGCAACTAAGCAGTTTCAGTACAGCATCTTTATAGATTTTCCTTGTCAGTGCTTGGAAATACTAAACCTATCTTTGTTTCTGATTAACAAACACAGCAATGGCTGCATGACACAGGAAACATGAGAGTGGAAATGATCTTAGTAGTTAGGAAAGGCTCAAACAAACCTATAAAAATATTATAGAAAAAAAATAGAAATCAATTCAAGAAAAATGTGATTTATTTGTATTCTTATTTAATCCAACAAAACCTCCAATTATGTTTTTCTGAGAGAACATGGGATTGGGGTTTCTGATGACTTCTTAAATAATAGTAGTCACATGGAGGCTCTCTACGCCATAAGAAGTAAAACCATAATCTCTTCCCTGATTCCTTCCCTGTATTTCTCTACAATTCTCTATATATGAAATATTCACTTGTCCTCCTTTTCAACTCTCCCAACTTCACAAGCATATGTCTACTGTTTTTCTTTTTTCTTGCTTCTTCTAACCACTCAATCTCTGGAGTCAGCTTTTCTATTAAATTTAAAGACAATACTGGAGGCAGAAAACAAATAAATAGATCAGAGGTGATAAGAGGTTCTATACATCTTTTTTTTAAGCAAAGTGAAGTTAAAACACAGCAAGTTAATACTTTTGATGTGACTCTTTAATTTCCATACCATGAATATATATACGTATCTTTTCATATCGTGATCAAAAAGAATGAGCAGAAATTCCAAATAGACTTTCATGTTAAATAAATTAAAACAAGGCATTCAGTGGAAAGCCAATATATTTTGCATCCAAAGCAGAAGATCTAACAGATGCTTCCCCCCTTCTGGACACAATTTTTAAAAAATAAAAAAATCTCCAATTTAATCATTTCATGACACTCAGAAATGACTCTCAGAGATGACTGTTTTTCCCTGCTTTGTGATAGGGCTTCCACTGGAGACAGTTTAACAGCAAAGGAAGACACTCAGAGGTGGTATCAGTATATTATGACCAGTTCTGGACAACCAGTAGCGGAAATTTTGAGTAATTCGGAGAACTGGTAAATACTATCTCTGACTGGCCCTGCTCCCATCTATTCTCTGCCCCCTGCGTCCCAGCTGATCTGGATGGAATGGGGATTTTGAAGTAACCTTCCCTTGGAGTGGGGAGGGAATGGAGATTTTACAGTATCCTTCCCCTGCCACACCCACCAAGCCATGCCACGCTCATCAAGCCACGCCCATAGAACTGGTAGTAAAAAAAAAAAATTGAATCCCACCACTGAAGACAATCATGCAAAAGAGTAAATAANTATCTATCTATCTATCTATCTATCTATCTATCTATCTATCTATCTATCTATCTATCTATCTATCTATCTATCTATCTATCTATCTAAATGGATATGTGTGTGTGTATGTTTCAGCATCACTCTAGAACGCCTCAAGCAATTTCAACCAAACTTGGTACATAAATGACTTACCCCCTGGAAAGAAATATTGTGGGGTAAGACACCCCTAAAACCCCTTGGGCTGTGTATTCTGTTAAGATACAGCCTAATGTGTCTTAAAATGGCTTCTACTGTACTGCCATAAAATGGCTTCTGTTGTGCAGCGCCATGGAATTGCCATGGTAACGCCATCACAGTACTTCACGAGGGGGTCCCTCTGGTAAGGGGGAAAATCCAACATTAGAAATTATGTTTGGTTCAGACATTTCCCCCCTATAAATAAATACGTGTGCAATGCTGGGCTATTCAACGCTATAATCAACGCTGAGTATAAAAAAAACCCTTCCCTAAACTCTACAAATCAGACATATTTGTTCTTGTCTACTGAAGTTTACTTTCTGTATTCTCTAGTCTTCCTCCAATATATAGTATTTTTTTTTGCTACACCCTGAAAAGGTTTTTACTGTACAAGCCAGCCAAGTTGTATTTTATTTCACAGGCTGCAGTTGAACTAAATTGTGGCTCAGTGCAACTTTTTCTTTTTTTTATTTCTAGTCACAATATTGTAGGCATAATCTAAATTTTCCATCACTTGGTTCTGAACCTTAACCCTGTTTTCTCTGCAGAGTAGACAACTTTGGGCTCGGACTCCTACTTCAGACCAAACAGATCAAGCGTATGGTGTCATCCTATGTTGGAGAAAATGCAGAATTTGAGCGGCAATACTTATCTGGCGAACTGGAAGTGGAGCTTACCCCACAGGTAAAATGTGAACTGCCTGTTTTTTGGAGGAAGGCTCCTTATAATTATTGGCACCAACTCTTTTCCATTCTAGTTGCAGGATTTCCACACCAGAAACTGAAATGTTGGTTGTGTAACTACTGTATTGCATGGTCCTTTTGTGTCTGTTGCAAGCCGTAAGGATCAGACAGCTTTCCACATTTCTGGCATTTTGAAGAGGGGTTGACAGACTTCCTATCTTGGGAGTGTATTGAATTGAACCACTATAGGAATTAGGAAACTGGACTAGATTAGTCTTTGGCCAGATTCTGAATCTACCCTAAAGCCTGTGATTTATGTTGGAACCCAGGCTACAGACACACTATGATTACAACACAGTATTGAAATACTACTAAGAAACCATAGATACTCATGTACCAGTTAGTTAAGAGTAGGAGAAGTAGGAGATGTTTTTAATTGCATTCTGCATTGGCATGACGTCGCATTTTAAAAATCCATTAAGTATTTGCAATGCTGTGCTTGACTGAACTGCACTCCATTCTTCATGCACGTTTAACTAGCTTTTGGAAAAAGATGGACTGCTTGCCTGCCAGGCAAACTTCCCTCCTACGCCAAAGTTAAGAATATAAGAAGCTCATTTCATATTTACCACCTTTTGTAAGTTAATCTTTTCTTAGCTCAACCACACTGAGTAAATAAATTAACCACAGCCAGACAGGTTCTGGCTGCCTTCTCCTCAAAATCTTCAGATTCTGGGAATATTCCTATTTAAATTGAAATGTGTTGTACTTAGCATGGTAAAGAAGCCAAATTTGCCTGAAAAAATATATATAATAAGTTGGGAAATAGTTTTTTTTNGCTTTAAAATGAGGTGTCGCGGAAGTTGTAAACTGCTGTCGATCTTGCTGTGACCCCCTAGGAAAAGGTTATGCCCCGCCCTGTATTTACACAGCTTAAATGGAAAGGCTCCGTGGTATTTATATGTTAGGGGACATTTCTGCTGGATTTGGAATGTTATCAGTGAACATTCTGATATTTTGAATACATGCAGTATTTTCTCATTTTTTTAAAAAAAGATACATAGAAGGCATGAATTTAGACATCATTTCCAAACATTATTTTCCCTTCCCCCATAGTCAATTGTATTCACTGTTTTTTTGTTTTTGCCTTGTTCGTTAAATGTCTGAGAAAGTTTAAGGGATGAAACAAAAAAGTTTGTAGAGAAAGGTAAAAAAGCATCTTACAGGTCACTGAGAAGTTCCTGCTGGAAATATGACACATGTAAAGAAACGTTTCAAAGTTTGATAAAACCTTGCAGAATAAGTTGAGTGAGTTTCTCATCTGTCAGAAGAATGTCCAAGAAAAATAATTTCACATGAAAAGCTAGGCAAGCTTTCTTCCAAGATGGAATGCGAGGCAATTTGATCTAACCTTTTCTTTGGAAGAAGAATAAAGGGAATCTCTACATTCCTTAAGTCATTCTTCTAAACCTTTCAGCATAGAACTAAGTATCTGAAGAGTCCAAACCCTGCAGAGCACTTAATAATGGCACTGAACCTCTGCATAAACAAACCCCACAAGAATTGTTTCACTGAAAGGTATTGATATAAAGTCTCTTCTTGCTTGCTGCTGTTGAGACCTGGTGCCAGGAGGCTATTTGGTGACTCACTGAAGCTTGAGATCATTGTGACGTTCTACTAAGTGGTGATGACAACGGAAAACAGGACAAAGGAATTTCATTTTTATCCTATCATGCCATGGCAATCAGCAGTGGGATTCCAAATCTTTTCCTACCAGTTCTTAAGTGAGCATGCTTCACACGCACGTCCGCCTTACAGCCACTACATGGGGCAGCCCTTGAAGAGTATTCGGAGACTTCAGCTTGTCCAGAATGCAGCCGCGCGAGCGATTGTGGGTGCACCNCACACACAAACACACACACACAAACACACACACACACACACACACACACACACACAGACACTCAATCATGCTTATTTTAACCCCCTTTTTTTTACAGAATATTCAATAGCAATGGCTGGCTGGGGAATTTTGGGAGTTGAAGTCGACCCATCTTCGAGTGATTGAGATTGAAAAATACTGTCTTATAGAATAACATTTCCCAAAATCGGGCTGACTCAACTCCTTTGAGCTCTCAAAAAACTTTTAACAACTTGGCTCTTTCAACAAGTCTTTGATGTTTGACATGATAGTAATTTTCTCCCTTATTCAGAGGGAGTGTTTTAATTGTTTTTAGGTCACTGTTTGTTCTACTAGCGGGAGGCAATTGATTATATTTTATGTTAGTGTTGCGCTTTAATTCTATTACTGAAATTAGGAAAGTAAACCTCTCAGGGTCAGTTGCAAATGAAAACGACACACAAGCCTAGTTGTTGAATGAAGGCAGAAATGAAGAAATCAATACTATTTTTCAATATGAAATAAAAAATAGGTGGCTTATAAATGCAAATTACTATATTGGGCATTTTATTCAGGAAAGGTAATATACTTAGCTACATGACTTGATTACTAGTATTTTTTGGTCCCACCTGCTATTCACAATTATCTTATTTAAGTATCATTGCAAAAATACTTTTGATTATTTGTTTGTTATAGATAGTAAAGATAGGTGTAGTCTGTTTTCTCTTTGTGCATTTGCACACAGTTATAAAGGAAGATACAACTTACATACTTCTGTGTGGTTCAGATTCAAAAACACTTTTCTAAGAAGTTCTTCATGAATACTTGTTCTCTGAAAGTATTCAGAGATATCAATAAGAACTGGAGTCGGTGTGGATCTTCTGATGATGTAACTACTGAACTACATGTTCCTACACTTGGCTTCAAATACTTCTCAGAGGGGGATATGTGTTTGTATATTGTATTTTTGAAGTAGCATGTTTTCCATTCATTTATAACAGCCTTCTTCCTAGTGAGTAAACAGTGGATCTAATGAGTGCTTTAAAAAAAGAAACTGATTGATGTCATTCGGGTCATGTAAACCAGCCCAATGATCTAGAAATTCAGAAGCTGAATTTCAAACAGACTTCCCCTGATTGCATCTCCTAGAGAAATATACAAAGTAGAACATAAGCTATGTCTCTTCGTGAACCTAATAAAGCGTAAACATGCCCTGGTAACATTTTCCCTCTGCCACTTCCCCATGTCATTGCCTTCATTTCATTTTCACCTATGAATTAAATGGACTTAAGTCAGCTGTATTTTTCCCTTATTCTGACCCAAACCAAGGGCAGTTTGGAGGTGTGTATTATGTATGATTCTGAATGGATGTTTGCTGGCAAGCAGTGACTAGAAACTGAGTTAACAGAGACGGAATAGAAATAGGCAAAAGGAACAGTAAATTTCATGCTATTTGTCTACTGACTCAAGGATGGGTGTCACTAGCACTAGCAATAGCAGTTAGACTTATATACCGCTTCATAGGGCTTTCAGCCCTCTCTAAGCGGTTTACAGAGTCAGCATATTGCCCCCAACAATCCNTCATTATTTAATACTATATGATACTGGCTATGTATAGTATACATGTGATTGTATGTTATGAAAATGGAAATAAAAATATGTTTATAAAAAAAAAAATTCTCCTGACCTCGAGCTCCAATTTGTAAGAGCAAGGTCTGGTGATTTCTACAATTATGTCAGGAATCCAGAGAGCGCCGCCACCTTCAGAGTAGTTGTGGGTGTAAACTTGATCCCCTCTGATAAATGTCCTTATTTTGCTAGTCGAATCAGTACATGGTTCAGCAGAATAATTGGGCTGTAGCCGGTCTAAGGAAGACCTTAGCCAGTGATCCATCAAAAGCTCAGCAGGGCTTCTGCTAGTGGTGGCACTTGGTGTGATGTGTTGGTAAAGGAGGAATTGGTCTACCTGGGTTTGCCAATCTTACGGCCCCATCCTAGATAGTGCTTCTTTTGCAGACCGCACATTCTCTCTGCCTGAACATTGCTAGTCAGATGGAAAGGTGCAACTAGGGCATGGATTCCCTTCTCTGCTAAATAAGTCTCAAATTGGATGGCTGTGAATTGAGGCCATTGTCCAAAACTAGTGTGTTGAGAAAACTCTCTGTAGCACCTTGATGACCACCTCTGCCATGGTGGTGGTCATGAGGACTATCTCTAGCCACTTTGAGTAGGCATTCACAACTACCATAAATACCTGCCCATGCACGGGACCTGCAACATCAATGTGCACCCTGGACCAGGTTGCCTGAGGCCATTCCCATTCACATGCAGATGCCTCTGGGGAAGCTGGTCGGGATTCCTGGAACAGAGTGCAGGTTGCCACCCACTCTTCTATCTCCCCATCCATGTTAGGCCACCACACATAACTCCTTACCAAAGATTTCATCTGGACAATTCCCAGATGCCCTACATACAAGGCCTCTAATACTGCAATCCACAGTTTGGGTGGAACAATCACCCACTCCCACCACAGGAGACACCCCCGCAATACAGACAATTCATTTTGCTTTTTTACAAAAGGTTTGAACTCAGACCCAAACAGCCCCTTGGGCCACCCCTCCACACCCAATTCAAGAGAAAGATAGTCTTGTCTCTCTCCGAGTGGCGGGCGACCTCGTTAGATGACACCGGGCCAGCCTCAAGGCAGTCTATTTGCAAAACTGGGATCTCTGGGGTCGGATCGTCCAATAGTTCTGGTAATGGGAATCTGCTGAGGGTATCAGTGTGGCCCAGAGTCTTACCTGGTCAGTGAATGAGGCGGTAGCTATAGGCCATGAGGAAAATAGTCCAACAGGTCATTCATGGTGACAGTGACACTGATGTTGCTCGGTCTCCAGCCAAGAGCCCCAGCAGAGGTTTGTGGTCCGTGATGATTTCAAAATCACAGCCATACAGTTACTCAGGAAACCTTTTTTTAAAAAATAAAATTTTATTTTTAAACAAACATAAACAAACAAGACATATAACATAAAAACATCTTCAATTACATACAATGTGTCGATTGGTTACAAGGTTTTTGTGTGTCCTTTCCATAGTCATCA